TTATTTTTGAAACTTAAATTTAATAAGTCTGGATCACCTGTCAACAAAATATGTTCCAACACCCTACCAACATCATTTGGCACCGCACATATGATACATGGTAGGTCCCACTTTTATAGTGGGCCCAAGTTTTATAATGAGATATGTGGTGTCAATTAAGTTGGTAGAGTGTTGGAACATGTTTTATTGGTAGAAAATCCAACTAAAATTTAACAGAGTCAGATTTAGCAGCAACATGGGTTCCAAAACTTATTTTGATTTTAGGGCAAAATATTTAACTTACTCCTTTGTTTAGAAAATGGGCTAAAACTTATCCTGTTTGAAAAATTATTTGAAATACCCCTAAATTTTCTAACAATTGACAATGCGTGTATCCTTTAACAAAAAATTATTTTACCCTTCATTCTTATTCAAATTTTAAAAGTGTAACATTTATTTGAATCTACAGAAAGGAAATGTTGGATAATGCTTCGTAATCCTAGAACTCCATTTCAGAAGGCTTAGGACTTTGGGATGTGTTCTGAAATCTGAACTACTCAGTGAAAGAATGCGTATATCCATCGACTTAAAGATATCCCATTTAGCTTTTTATCTTCCTAGTTGAATGAAAAGTTCAGGGAATGAAATGGTGGTGGTGCAGCTGATCCTGTAAGAGGCGTTAAAGGCCCCTGCAATGAACACACTACTGTTAAAGGCCCCAAAGAAAGTTGAGACCCATCACAGAAAGCCTATACATACATAAAATAACACCTTCATAGCCCCTTTTATGTTGCAGGTGAAGTAAAATCCATGCCATTGCCTATGTCTGAAAGTGGAGACCCTACAAGACGAGACCGAATCAGCCCTCTATAAGACTGCCCCCCACAATGTCCCACACCACATTTCCGCCTTGTACTGGGAATATCTTTCGATGATGACATTATCATTTTTAGAAGGGCATCAGTGAATGGATTGAAGAATGGTGAAAAAACTGATGCTGAACGGCCGGATAGGAGTGCCATTTTGTTGCATGGGTGGTGGTCATGTCATGTGGTCTAATTGCTGGTCTCACAACATGAAAATCTTCAAGTAGAAGGATTTTGACCCTCTCTTAATCATTTTCCCGGCCCAAGCTTTTGTTGACCACATTCACATTGTCCATCGAGTATGGAGGTGTTAATCAAAAACCTTGCATACATCATGCTCTATCCCCACCATGGTTTTCAAACCTGATTGGATGGTCGAACTGGTTGAACCAGGAACCGGTCAAGTAACCGGTTCCGTTTCACCCTAAAACTGTTCCCAAGCCAAAAACTGTGGAATTGGTCAGCAATTCATTGATCTGGGCAATTGAATTGTCAAGCCATCGACTTAAAGAACGGTTTTGGTTATATTTATTTTAATTATTTATTTTTTAAAATCAAAATGGGCCATTTGTTCGAATCTAACAGTTGGACTATTTGACCTAAGAACCGATGGGCAAAACAGTTTCGTGTCCAGTCCAGTTTTTAAAACCTTGATTCCCACTCCTTAATCCCCCTTAATCTGCAATCTATAATATCAAACAACAACCAACAACCAATAGAAAGATATTTTTAAAAAGAAAATTTCCTAAGTGCAACTTTAAAGCTCCTATTTCTTATTATATTAAGCCACAGTTAAATTGATATCCATTCAGCCAAAATCTATATCCGAATTAATATTATTTCATTAAACATGAAAGTAGAGCACTAAGAGTAAAATCATGTTTTCAAAACTAAGGCCCTGTTTGGTTGATGGGAATAGGGATCTGGAATTGGAATCGAAATGGGCTATTTTGATTCTAACTATTTGGTTGGATGGAAACGGAATCTTATTTCCATTTCTGCTGAAATGACATTCCCCCATTGGAGGGAATGACCATTCTCTGCCCCTCCCTAGAGAATGAAATCCCATTCCAGTTTATTTCAATTTCCATTCTCATTTCTGTCTGAACTAAACAAACTATAGGAATGAGTCATTCCGATACCGATTCCGTTAGATTTCGATTTTAATTCCAACTGCGAACCAAACGAACCCTAAAAATTTAAGAGAAACACTATACACCCAAAAATGTATTTTATTTTGAAAAAACTAGATGAGTGGCACATGCAAAATGGTGGTGGAGGCCAAAGCAAATATTGACTTGTAAAATAATGTTCGTAGACTCACTTTTCATTAAATTGCAACAAGAAACAATTCAAGATGGGGAACTGCCCCAATTAGCCAATGGATACAACAAGGTCAAGGAGAATGAAGAACATCCTAATATCCTATTTGAAAGACTATTGAAATGAATAGTATTCCTTGTATTATAAAAAAGGGAAAATCACTTACATGAGAATTTCTAAATTTTCACTTACAATTAGGAAATGTGAAACAAAATCTTTGTAAATATTTTTCTTTAATTTTATATTTTTGTATGAAGGCAATTTTTTTCATTTTTATTTTCGTCATTATTTTTTTTTTAGTTAGTCATTTATCCATTTGGGTTTGGGTTTTGTACAATTTGATTTTAGAAGGTTAAGTGTTATTTATGTAGAATGAAATAACACGAAAATGGGGTTTGTGCCATATTTAAGACTTACTGGATATAACTTCAGAAATAGGGAAAATTGGTGTAAAGACTTTCCTGCACTAACCTTGTTTGGCACAGGGAATCAGAATCATACCTTTTTTTTGATAGTATCTTAAGCATATTCTTTAGGCATGTGCAAGCTTGAAAAGCAAATAGTAGTTCAAATTAATAAATTTTACTAGTAGGGACCTATGTCATGTACATGCTTATGCTTTGTTAAAAGAATTTAAGGCAAAAGAAGTTAGAGGTGCAATTTGGATGGGCTAACCTGAGTCGGGACTAGTTCAATTACAGTTTTTGCACAAGTTTGGTTTGACTGATTTTTCAGATATCATGTTGGACTTGGGCAAAAAATCTTAGGCCTAAACTAAATTCAAGTTGGGCTTGGGTTGAGGCCTCATATACTACAATCCAATCTGAGCATGTCCAACGTTTTATGATATTATCAATCTATCCTACCTGGAAATTGGACAATAAAATTCAATAGCTCAAGCCGAAGCACAAATCGAGATGTATTGGGTTAAGTTTTAATTGATAAAAAGAAAGAGACCATTTTTTAAACAAATGAATTAATACGTGAATTTCATTCTAATCGTCGTTAAAACATTTTCCCGAAACAGGTTATGGTTTTTCTTATTCAAATCTTAAAAATAAGAGAAGGTAAAGTTATGTATTAACCATTCAGCTGATTCAGCTGGTTCAGCTGTCTTGAAGCATTATATTCAAAGAGCTTCAAATGGCTGAGGGCCCTTTTGGGGAAGCTGAGCCAAAAGTTCAGTTAAACTGGTTGAGCTGCTTTGAGGCGCTCTATTCAAAGAGGCCGAAGCAGATAGTCCCTTTTAGTTTGATATCTTCTAAAGGGCTATATAGTGGGGGTCATGATTTGATTCCAAGTATCGGCTACATTTAACAAGAGACCTTATCAATCAGCTGGTTGGCACCATGCCTAAAGGCTGTTATGGCTGGCAGTTAGGAGTAGATTCGAACCAAATCGAGCCAAATATTTGGTTATTCGAGATCAGTTCATAAGAATAATATCAGGTTCGGGCTCAATTCGATTCATAACTCACAAGTTTAAGCTGGTTCAGCTCAAATTCAGATCAATTAACAAACGAGCTTATATATCAGATTCGAATCAACTCAAAGCTCAGTTTAAAATGAGCCAAACCGAACTAGTCACGAATCAAACTTGAATAGCTCGTGAAAGGTAGTCACCCCTACTGGCAGTTGATATGGGCTCTCCAATTTTTTCACCAAATATAACTTAAAAGGCTGCCCATGAGGATCCCATCTCTAAAAACCAAAGGCTGTGTTTCAAATAGGCATTGACCAACAGTCCTTCAAATGATTGACACTGTGGGTCATGTTTGATTGAGTTGCTTTCACTGAACTGTTTTGGTGCAAGTGTGAAACCACTTAAAAAGCTTCGGCTAAAAGTCCTACTTCTGAATTTTGATGATAAATAACTATTTTGGCCTTTTTTTTCAGGTTTTACCAAGCATAACTTATGATTTGAGTTAGAGACTTAAAGCTTGAATTCTATTCAACTCAAAAATTCATATATTTAAGTTCAATTATGAGCTAAGCTCGATTAAGATCACTAACCTTTTAAGTTCAGCTTTGATTGAATTAGCAAACAAATCTATATATTAAGTTGAAAATCGAATAGTTTATAAAAAAAAAAAACCGAAAGAAAACTCGATTCAGTCACCATGTGGGGATGTCCAAAATTTTTGAGATGTATTTAGCGGGTCCATGCCCACAATTTCCAGCCCATCCAATGCTTTGATATATATACATTTCGGAAGACTTTCCCCTAATCTTCTTCTAACATTAAAAAGTCAAAACAATCACACGTTTACAGACATAGTTTTTTATTGCCGTCTATTGGACGGTTAAGATTCTTCTTACCAAATTGATCATCGATCAGAGTTATCAATATCCAGAGACAAGAAAGATCTCACGGTTGGAATCAATGTCCAGCCAAGAAAGAATCATCAGCTTTTCTCGCTCGTGTTTCACCAGCCACGCACTGTATCAATCGTGTTGACTGACACGAAACGGATGGTCTCATCACTGGACAAGTTCCAAAGTAGTAAAGTGCCATCCACCTTCAATAGAGAGAATACGATTGACTGGGCCACGCAGCACTAAAAATGGGTCACTGACCCATTATTGCAGTTCTAATCTCCGGGCCCAACCCAACTCTGTCGATTTCACACACCACTGGTCCACTGGCACTGCACCCGGACCCGGGTGCCAATTCCTCGCTGTATTTTACGTTACGTTTCTCGCTCGAACCAGAAAACCAGAAAGCCGAGTGGGAGATGGCTGAATGGCTTGGGCTTGACGGATGGCGTGAAGGAGGAGGAAGTAGAGAAAGAGAAATTATTATTTAATTGATTATTAATTTTATAATTAATTTATTTTAGATTAGTCACTCATTAGTCATTCTTAGGGCAGTAGATTATGAAAGGGATGAAGGAAAAGAAGAAAAAAAGAAAAAACCCTATGTCATGTTCTTTCAAAGTCCGCTTCGATTGGATCGAAGCGTGAATAGGGGTGATATCATGACTCTTCCTCTTCTCTCTCTCCTCCTTTCCTTACTTCTTCCTTCTCTCTCCTTTGCTTTTCTGCAACCAAAACCTCCGTTACAATAAGCCCCAAAGGAAAACCCTAGATCTCCTTCCTGATCGCACCCTTCATCAATCTCTCTGCCTTCTCTTTTAGTCATTTTTTTCTATTTTGGTCAAACGGTCTTGTAGTCGTCTGTTTATGTTTCGTTGATTTAGCAACAAAAGTCGTTCTGCGTTTCTTCTCGGGCCCCGATTGCCATGGGCCTTAGATTGGCCTACTGGTTTCGGCGTTCGTTTGTTGTTCGATTCGGAGAATTGGAGAGGATGAAGCGGTTGGCAGGGTTTGAGTGGCTTTGATTTTCTTTGTGCTATTCTATCGGGATTCGGGAGTTAAGGTTTCGACTCTGCTTGGGAGTTTGAATTTCGTTGATGGAGCCTCGCGTGGGGAACAAGTTCCGACTGGGTCGTAAGATCGGTAGCGGCTCGTTTGGGGAGATCTATCTTGGTTAGTTTATTTATGCTTCTTATTTTTCTTGTTTCATGTTTTTTTCTTGTTTTGTCAGCTGTGATTCCTCCGTGTTTTTTTTTTTTTTTTTGGTTCAGGTACCAATATTCAGACAAACGAAGAGGTTGCCATTAAGCTTGTAAGTAGCTTTACCACGTTGACTTAAAAAAATACCAACTTTCTCCCTGCACCAGGTGAAAGAAGAGCCGGTTTCGGTGTTCTATTTTCCTGTATGTGTGGGTATAGGTGGGGATGGGTGCATTTGATGCTTCAGGTTAGATGCCAGGCGTCTTAATTCCGAGTTATTTTGAATATCTTTTCCTCGCGTCAGTTTGTTTTTGTTCTGGTAATAAATTTTATTCGTCATTCTGTTCTTCCGTCTTTATTCATCTCAAACAGCTGCACGCATCAGTTATATCTTTACGTGGAATGTTCTCTGTGAATGTGTCAGACATGCTTGACTATGCAAGTGGGCAATAAAATGAACATCGGGCAAATTGAACTTAAGGTTGACATGTATGTCCCATTTAGTAAGACATAATTTGCTTATTTTAGCAAAGAGAGAACTTGTCTAGTTTTCCAGAAATTTTATTCTGGGTTTTGTAGGCGCATGCTTCCCCTATAATTTTCGAGCTGCAGTTCTTGCAATAAGCACGTGGGCCTAAGAAAAAAATGTTTGTAGGCATAAATGATTAAAGCATGATATAGTGGTCTGAGAAACTTTTAGAGGAGCACATAGCAATATGCAATTATGCATCAGGTTGTGCTTTGGCAAGCTCTAGGGGCTTCGGTTGGAATACAAACATAGAATATCAGGAAGATGCATTGAAAGCTCTGGTTCCTTGGAATGTGCATAGTGGGTGAAATGGGAAGAGAATGATACGGTGTAACAGCATCAGGATCAAACCAATACAGAGTCCATGGTTCGTCCAGGAATCATTTTCAATCCTCATGACATCCATACCCACCTGTGTTTCTTATGTAATAATCTTTCAAGTTGCACTATCTAGAAATATGCAACTGTGATGATCAAATATAGTACAAGGTAATATTTGCAGACTACAGAGCAAAAATAAAATTGACTGTCTCAACTGCGAATATGCTTTCAGTAATTTTTTTACCAATCCTTGATCTTAAGCACTGCTGCTGACTACAAGCATAATATACTGATTTAGTTTCTTGACTTCTCCTCAGGAAAATGTCAAAACAAAGCATCCACAATTACTATATGAATCAAAGTTGTACAGAATTCTCCAGGGAGGAAGTAATAAAAATGTTCATTTGTTATAATTTTTTAATGGCCGTTGGAGATGGCTGTCTAAACAAACTATTTCTGTTTGCAACTTTTCATATTTGGCAGCTGGAATTCCAAATGTGAGATGGTTTGGTGTTGAAGGAGACTATAATGTTCTTGTAATGGATTTACTTGGACCTAGTCTGGAAGATCTGTTCAACTTTTGCAGTAGAAAGCTCTCCTTGAAGTCTGTTCTTATGCTTGCTGATCAGATGGTAGGTTTCATATATATTTGCTCACTTTCCAGCACATGATGTGTCTTCAGTTTCTCCAGTGTCTGGCAAGCCCTGATACATATGATTCACTTCAGATCAATCGAGTTGAATTTGTTCATTCAAAATCATTTCTGCATCGAGATATCAAGCCAGACAATTTCCTAATGGGCTTGGGAAGGCGTGCAAATCAGGTTTTGCATTTTTTTGGTGTTTTTGTTATCAAGAATCTAATGGGTCTTTATTTCTAATGTACTATGTGCTGTTCAATTCCATATAGGTCTACATCATTGACTTTGGTCTGGCTAAGAAGTATAGAGATACATCAACCCACCAACACATTCCTTATAGGTGTGTAGCTTAACTATTATTTAATGGATAAACCTGTTATGTACTTATGTTTCAAGAGTTTGATATTTTGGCAAGCATGTTCTGGATGATTTGTATTAGCAGTGCAAGTCAGGCACTTGATTTGAAGAATTTAAACTAAGTTGGACTTGGGCCCTTGGTCCAGGCCCCTTGAAATTTTAATAAATGATCAACCTAAGCCCACCCAAGTTGGTCCCCTAATTCATATGTATTAGCATGAATTATATCAATACTTATTGGATATAATGTGCTTTTTACAATCTATACTTTATGCGGTTGAGGTTATTGGGTTCTTCTATTGGGCTATTGCATTGCTTTTTAATTTTGAAGTATTTCCATTGAAATTCATTTTCTAGCATTTTCTATTCATCAGAAAAGGGAAAAAAAATCTACATGTTTCTTAAGATATCTTAGAACTTATTTTTCCCTTTTAGATGTATCAATGTGAAGCTTATTGTTTCATTGCTCACTCCATCCATTGTGGATGTTCCATTGTTAAAAATATTTTGTGGTTAGATTTTGACCCCTTATATTATTTTACTATGTTACATTTTCTTTAAACAATATAGCCCTTAGGGTCATGCTTCAGAACTGAATTTGAATATACAGGTTGTTAAGGACTGAGCAACTTTCTACTAATATTAGAAAGAGAATCAAACAACCAATTAGTCCAGTTTTCACCTTTATGTGTGGTGACTCAAATCCCGAACTCATTTTAGGGAATTGTTATGTTTTTAGAACACAACTAGTCTCTAAACATATGATCTTTCTGAACTCTGAAGTGGGAGGTCTAATTGGATTAGCACCTGAATAATTTGATATACGTACATTGCCAGGCCTATTAATCATGGATAAAAGCTAACTAGAGTGTAAGCACCCCTAAAAGATGGGGAAAAGTATGCAATTTTTATTTTGAAATGCACATCTATAATGTATAAAGTGGATACTTGCCTTGATTTTAGTGCAGGTCATAAAAGTCAAATTTGATAACATAAAATTAACTTATATTTTTACCCTTTACTTGCACATGAGCATACCATGTGGTCATGTTCCCTTACACTAGTTTGTATAATTCAAAAATATTTTTACTTTGGGTTTGTGCATGTATATTATATATTTTACATACATTTTTGCATGTATAATATGCTGATTTTTTTTTGCAATTTTTTCTAAGAGCAAATAGGTTTTAACAGATTTGCCTCCTTAGCCCCTTTTTAGTGGTTACTCCTTTTTCTATGGAAATGTCCAGTACTGTTGAACATCTTATTATTTAGCACCAAAATATTGTACATAAAGGCTAATAGCATATTCAGTCTACCCCTCCCAAAACCCTAGATAGCCGAGACCAACATTGGGTAATGACCTATTTTACGGTTTTTACCCTGCTTTTATTTTTTCAAAACAACTAGCCTGCATCTCATTTTAAGTTCTTACGTTACTCTGTTTGTAGTTAAAATGTGAAAAACATAGCAAATAATTTTAAGCTTATACATTCTCTTGATGCCATCATAAACCTTGCAGAGAAAATAAAAACTTAACGGGAACTGCAAGATATGCAAGCATGAACACTCACCTTGGTATTGGTATGTGCTGTACATTTTTGGCATGCATTTATGACTTTGAGCTTTCTATCAAACATTAGTCCATCAAGCATGTTTTGTATTAATGAATAGTTGAAATTATGTCAATTTCAGAGTAATCTTGATTAGTTTCTTTCTTTGATCATGTTGTCCTTGGATTGCATAGAACAAAGTCGCAGGGATGATTTAGAATCTCTTGGATATGTTCTTATGTATTTCCTAAGAGGAAGGTACGATTTTCCTGCCCCTTTGGATATAAGGTTTGGATTTCTCTGTTAAATAATTTATTTAGTTGTGTGTGCCCTGTTTTTTAGTCTTCCTTGGCAGGGACTCAAGGCAGGAACCAAGAAACAAAAATACGAAAAGATTAGTGAAAAGAAGGTTTCCACTTCTATTGAGGTGAATTTCTCTCTACTGTAAGATCCCTATTCTGCTTCTTCAGTATAATGAAGTTACGACTAGAAAGATCATTGCTGCTTTTCAGGCTCTATGCCGGGGTTATCCTACAGAATTTGCATCTTACTTCCATTACTGTCGTTCACTACGATTTGATGACAAGCCAGACTATCCCTACCTCAAGAGAATATTTCGTGATCTTTTTATTCGTGAAGGTAAAGTTTTCTTATTCCTTGTGTTCTATTACTTTAAGTGAATTAGAAAAAAACTAGGAGAGTGATGCTAGGGCTCAGATTGAAGGAAACTCTTTTAGCAACATCAAGTTTGAGTTTCATACCATCTGATTGTGCCATTATTTCTTTTTCTTGTAGGTTTTCAGTTTGATTATGTGTTTGACTGGACCATTTTGAAGTATCAACAATCACAAATTGCCACTCCTTCTCGTGCTATTGCAAGTGACTCTGTAGCATTATTTTCCCTTTCTTTGTCCATAAACTATTTGCTCATCTAAATAATGCATTGTCTTATAGGGTCCTGGTGCTGGAACTAGCTCAGGGATGCCCCCCGCAATTGCAAATGCTGACAGACAATCAGGTGGCTTTCCAGCACTGTTTTTTCTTTTTCTTTTCATTTATTTTGTGTTCATTTTTGTTTGTTTTTATCTGATTATGGGAAGTAGAGATTAACTTCATCCTTTTGTATCCATTTATCTTGACATGGCAGATTTTGTTGCTTAGAACCATCCGTTCACAGTTATTTCCCAATGCCTGTTTTGATCATGTTCTATTTCTTTCTTTCTTTTTTTTTTCTGTTAATGGTGCCTACGTAAAACTTTTTATATGTCCATGTTCTGCTCTTTTGATGACCTTATTTTACAATTGGCAGCTCCCTCCCACACTCTCACACGTACACACAAATAAAAAAGGATCATCAGAAATAAAGGATGCCTATAACTTTATATACATAAGGGCATTATCTGACTGCTTCTATATACATAAGGGCATTATCTGACTGCTTCTATAACATTGTCTCAGGTGGTGAGGAAGGAAGACCAGCTGGGTGGTCTACAATGGATCCTTCCCGTAGGAGAGTCCCGGGACCTGCTATAAATGCTGGAACCTTATCTAAGCAGAAGGGCCCAGTTGCAAATGATTCATCAGTGACCAAAGATGCCATGGTGAGTTGCTTTAGTCATGTCTATGGTTGTAGGATTCAAGGATGAACAGGCTCCATGATTCATAAGGGCATATCAAGGAACACCATATTATCTTGTTGCAGTTGGGTCTTTGTTTGCCTTGTTCTTTTGTTTACGTATATGGGAGAAAGTACTATTTTTTCTCCATTGTGATTTCCTACTCTTGGAACCATGAGTTGGATTTCATTTAGTACCCTACGTTTTTTGTGTCAAGTAACTTGGACTCGTCATCTCATATTCATATTCTGTAGTGCTTATCTCCCTTTCCTATTTTTAAGGAATTATGTTGTCCTTGTTATTCATGTTTGCTCTTTTAGATGATGGCTTAAATATATTTAGATTTTAGAGCTCAAGACATCCAATTTCCATATGCTTAACTTGAGGTAAATCTAATAATAGGTCAATCGACTGAGGATAAACCATGGAAGATTGACTTATTTGATGGATCTCAATTAGATTGACTTTAGAAAAGAAAGGAAAGCCAGAGTGTTGGCAATCTTCTCTTCTATATTCTCTTGGTCATTCTGAAAAAAATTCCAAGAAAAGTAAGCAAGCTGTAAAGATTGTAGTTTTGGGCCATATGATCTTTTTGGTTCTCAGATATGGAGCTTGGAAAATGTGTCGTTAGTTTTGTACCAGTGTTTTGCTCCAATGCAAATGCAACCCTCGGGAGAGTTAAAAAATTGTATCAAGTGCAACACCTTTAATGAACTTTATGTTTGAATGCTTTTGTGCAGTTGCCTGGTTCTACCTTTCTGGGGCGGCCAAGTGGATCTTCAAGGCGAGCTGCTGTTTCTAGCAGCCGGGATGCAGCAGTGCTGGGCAGCGAGTCTGATCCTTCTCGCCCTCACACCACAGAAGCAAGCCCAGGAGCATTCCGCAAAGTTTCAAGTGGGCAGAGAAGTTCACCTGTCGGTTCCTCAGATCCCAAACGTACGTCATCCGGCAGGAACACTACTAACATAAAGAACTATGAGACCACCCTCAAGGGTATCGAGTCACTGCACTTTGACAATGATGAGAGGTTGCATTATTAGCTCTCTCTCTCTCTCTCTCTCTCTCCCCATGCTCTCTCCCCCTCTCCTGTAAATTGGAAACTGCTGCAGTACTTGCACCGTTGCACGCTTAAAGTGCAATTGTTCCATTTAGTTGTGTTTGAGGAAAGCCATGATTTGGAAGTAATTGGAACCTATAAGCTGACTATGAGTATGGTGGCCTTTGCTACGCAATAGAAAAGCATACAGGCACAAGGAGCTAAACTCAACTGGATCCAATTTGGGAAGAGTCTCAGTATACGGATTGGGTTGTCACTTGTCACTTTGTCAGCCACTCAGCCCATGGTTTCACTCATTTTTACATGTATCCCCCTCCCCCAAGTATTAAAAAAGAAAAGAAAAGAAAAGAAAATATATGGGATTCTTCATACTAAGCCATGTATACGGGAGGAATATTTCAACACTTTGTGGTGGCATCATCTTGCCATTTGTATTGCTTTTTTTTTGTTCATTTTCCAACTTGCGTTTTTACATGAATACTCAGATGTTTTGCGCCCGATTTTAGGGTAATGTCATGAAAACTCCGTATTGAGTGCATCGTATCGTATCTTTTGGTCTCGATACACCTATTTTACAGGTGTTTCGGAACCCTGGTTTATTTCAGTAAAACAATCCATTAAAAACATCTTTAAAAATCATATTTTGAAAAAAAAAACCTTGAGTGTGTAATTTTTAAGTACCGATATGCCCCTGCCAATACACAGGGGCGTATAGAACTTTGAACCTAAAAACATTGTTTTAAAATGCTGAAAGTCTTGAGGTGTGAGGCATATGCCTGGCGAGCCATACAGATTTTGCTTCAAGCCTCAAGGCATGAGTCATAGTTTGAGGTGTAAAAAGGGGTAAGCTTCAAGTATCAATAATTATTTAGTGATTGAATGCAATATATATATATATATAATGCATTTTTATAGCTAAAAGTAGATGAAAGAAGCACTTTAATAATTATGGGCCAAATAAAAATAGTAAAAATAAAAAACCAATAGGGCAAACCGAGTTCTATTAGTTTCTCTTAGTGTTTTAGGAAAGTTCAATGCAAAGAAGCTAGAAGACTGATTTTTTCGAGGAGATGAAAAAACTAAAAGCTTATTTTTTTGAGGAGCTGTAAAAACTAAAAGCTTAAGCTGTTAGTTGAGGTCACTAGATATATTTTTAGTTATGCAAAACTAAGGTTCAAAATATTAATACATCGGATAGTATCGATAGTTTTTTTTTTTTCAAACCTGGTTCAGAGGAGTCAGTTTAAGGTCCACCCACCCTCTGCATCAGTTGGGACCCCAAAACCCCTGTAGGGGCATATTGGGAGGCTCCTGATATGAATATAGCAGACCGTATCAACCATTACATATTAAAATTTTGAACTTTGAATAAAACAGGTAGGCTTACATAAAGAAAAAAGAATGGTGAAACCAAGGTTCAAAGTATCAACATGTATCGGCCAATACGTACCGTTCTAGGACCCCTCCGATACGCCCCTACAGTGGGTGTATCAATTCGCTCGATACGCCCATACCAACATATCAGACATATCAATATTTTGAACCTTGGGTGAAACCAGTCTACTACTGATCAGGCTACTGCTGGTTCTGATTGTGTATCCTTGACCCGGTCCCAGGGTAGCGCTTGTCAAGTACCACCACTAGTCGCCGATTATGGCACTTGGTTATAGATTGGAAATTTTCTTATAAATTTAATAATAACGGGGTTCTATTAGATTACGGCAACTTTTTGCCCTTAATATCAATAAAAATAACTCTGTTAATATAATTTTTAAAATACAGTATTTTTTTTTTTTTTGTAAATATCAAATAAGGGCACCAGCATTGGTCACTTCCTTCCTCTTTTGGAAGTACCGAACAGCGGGACAAACCTCCCCCACCTCCAGTCTCAGATCTTGCCACCAAGTTCTGAATAAGCCAAACAAATGTAAAGGTTCATCACTCTACCAGTAGATAATTTCTGCAGATTGACCAAATTTTTGCTCCAAGACATTATTCACCTTATGTTGTCATAAAGGTTCAAAATATCAATACGCCCGATACGCCTATACCGGTGTATCGGGCGAATCGATACAGCTTTTTAGTGCTTCTTTTTACAACTGGTTCAGGAGAGCCGGTTTAGGCCTCCTCTACACCCTGAACCGGTCAGACCCCCGATACACCCACTATAAGGGCATATCAAAGGGGTCTCGGAACGATACGTATCGATCGATACGGGCCGATACGTATCAATACTTTGAACCTTGGTGGTCATCAAAAGCGTAACCTATACAAGAATAGTTGTTTAAACACTACTCTTTACATTGGTTCTCATGATCATCGACAGACCAAGAATCCATCTGCTTTCTCTTTTTCACTGTTTCTGCTATTTCTCTCACGTTGTAATTGAGTCCTCCTCTCACACCCACTGGACCAATTTCCCATATTCCACTCCTCTGAAGACTTGGGTGTGAATCCATTCAAATAATTACAAATTGATGAATCTACTACATTATGAACATCACACTTTTGCACTTTCTGTAAATATCACACACTTTGCACTTCTATACTTGCTATAAACATCACACTCTGTATTTGGGGCAGACCAATGAATAAACCAATCGTTTTTTTATTTTATTCCAATGATATTCTACCATTGAGAATTTGCATCTAAATTGAATCCATCGAGCTATACAAAGTGCATATTTGGCACGCTTATAACGACAAACCACACACACACTCTCTCTCTTGTTGCCACACCACCCTCCTCTCTTTCTCTGTGTCGCTTAGGTCTTCCATTTGAAGGTCTCTGCCGCACAATCTACGGGTTTTAAGAGGGGTGTATTACAGTGCTCTTATTTGATATTTTTTCATAAAAATTATCTTACTTTAATTATTACATTAAAAGTATTATTTTTATTGATATTAAGGGCGAAAACCCTTATCTGCTAAAACCCCATGAAGAAAATATTCTCACTATACGGCTGAATCCCTGTGCACCAAGTTTTTTGCTTTCAAGAGATTTGGGCTAAAAAAAAAAAGAATCAGACTCCTATCGTCCTACCCATCAATCATCATTTTAGTGAATTAAAACAAGCGGTTCAGCTACTAAAACCAGTATTTAATTGACTCTATAATCTCAGCAAATTGAGTTGATCATCCGGTCCAATTGTCTGACCATTTAAACCATTTACCCAATTTTGAGATCAAATGGCTGGTATTTCATCCTAAATTCCTAGTGATGCATGTGGGTTCCATCAGTTGGATTGGATGGCCCACCTTGTATCAGGATTGGGCTGCGAAGGCCCAACATATAAATTATTTCAGTTTAAACATTAAAGAATGAATACCAAGGTAAGTGGGTGATTGACGTTTGAGTGTTCTAGTTTTTCTTCTTCTACCTGTGTATATAGTTACATATCATATCGGACAAAAATATCCGATATCTCGGATTTGTCATGTGCTCCTTATCAGGAACCGAGATTTCGGGTTTTTGCAAAACAATAAACAGGTAGAAAAACGAAACGAACGCCGCCTGGTTTTGAGTCTTTTGACTGACGGAAGGGAGAAAAAGATGATTTTTTACGTTGCCCATCTTTTAATCTTTAAGGATCAACTGGGAGACGTCGGTTTAGGAAGGGATTTGGAGTACGTGGGCTTTCTGTGTTCTCTGAAAGCATCTTCTTAGCTTCTTATTCTTAAAATTGACTACTTGAAGAGGAACCAGGAGTGTCTCTGAGTGCCGGTTCTGTGTTTGTCTCTCTGCCTATTTTTGTTTTTGTTTTATTACTTTGTGATTGCTTTAATTTGAAGAAAACAGCTTTTCTCTTCTCTGAGAAATTTGAGGAACTAATTTAATAAATGAAGGATTTCTCCTTCTCTGTCTGACGTGGTTTGAAATTGAATGACAACTTTTGAGGCCCTGTAATGTAATGGAATGGAAGGAAACACCCAAAGCAAATTTAACAGAATATGTGTCTTCTGTGGGAGCAGCTCTGGTAACAGAAAAGCCTTTAGTGATGCTGCTCTTGAATTGGGAATTGAACTGGTTAGTCTTTGCTTTCTTCATTTATCTTCTTTGATTGGTTGGTTACTTGTACTCTTTATTCTTTCTGTTTCTTTTGCGAATTTTTGGTTTTTGGATTGCCAGCATTTGAACTGGGTTTCTTCTTTTCAATTGTGTTTGGAGTTCGGAGTTTGGTTTTTTACTTTTTAGTACATAATTCTATACTGATTTGCTTGTTTTTGACGTTGGCTTAGAAAAATCTTTATGGATTTTGTTTTAACTTTATTGGGGTGTATTGCAGGTGAAGAGGAAGATAAACTTGGTGTATGGTGGGGGAAGTATTGGCTTGATGGGTTTGATTTCTCGGAGAGTTTATGATGGAGGTTGCCATGTTCTTGGGTAATTATAAATCAGGCCTTGAAAATTAGGATTTTTTTTTTTTTTTTGTTTCCATATCTCCCAACAATTCCAACACCAAAGCAAGCTTTTTGTTTCTTATTATCATTGCCAATCCTGTTCACTGTTTTGTTTTGGTTTTATCTCTATATGCAGGGTTATTCCCACAGCACTCATGCCTCTTGAGGTATTGGTGGCATTCTCTGCTATCCTTTCTTCTGTTCAGCATGCTATGAAGTCTGAAAGAATGGATATTTTATAGATTTATGAGGGAATATACTTAAATCAACTATCTGGTTCTCTTAATTAATGGACAACCATCATTATATTACGCTATTCTAGGAGGGATTATCTTGAATCTGCTTTCTAGCTGCAGAGGTTTTAAATTCATTTTTGGGCTCTGCTTCTTACAGAAAAGGTTCTTACTTTTGTTCATAACCTTGCTCCATTGACAGCCCTGCACAATGTGACATTCAAAGTTTCGAACTATCTGTTCATCATATTATGGATTATGATTATCACTCTTCTTTGTTCCTAATTTCACCTGTTCAATTGATTGAAGAGTTGTAAACTAGTTAGTTGGACAATATTGTTGTACATCTGTGATCTGGCCAATGCCAAACTCTGTTTTGAGTAGTTATGAATCAGTTACTCGGGATGATATAGCCAATTAAATTATGTAGCTAAAAGTCTAATTGAGTGGCTGTAAACTAGTAACTTGGATTATGTCAACAGATATCTGGCCAAACTGTGGGGGAAGTAAGAAATGTTTCAGACATGCACGAGCGTAAAGCCCAGATGGCCAAACAATCTGATGCTTTTATTGCTCTTCCGGGTAAAATTCTCACAAACTTTTATCCTACAAATTGATAAGTAAAGGTGAATGTCCCTGTAATCTATTGACTGCATCCTCGTTCTATGCAATTGGCTTTTGATTCCCTTTTTTTTTTCTTGCAGGGGGATATGGAACAATGGAGGAAACGCTAGAGATGATAACATGGTCACAGCTTGGAATTCATAATAAACCAGTAGTATTCAGACTCTCTGGTTTCTCGTTATTTATTTTTTTCTCCTTTTATTTGGCAGAGGAGAGTTCACTTAACGTTTTAAGTTGGTAATATGTGCACAGGTTGGTCTGCTAAATGTTGATGGGTATTACAATTCTTTGCTTGCATTATTTGATAATGGTGTTGCTGAAGGTTTCATCAATCCAGCTGCTCGAGACATAGTTGTCTCTGCTCCAACAGCGAAAGAACTGATGCTAAAGATGGAGGTGATCAGCTTACCTTCCTTTGGAAACATTGTTTCAGTTATGCATCTAAATTTGATCTCTTCATTTTTGCAGCAATACACTCCATCCCATAAACATATTGCCCCACATGAAAGCAGGAAGATGGAGCAACCGAGCGGTTATCCAGCGCCACCCAATCCACCATGACATTGTTTTTGGCTGGTGGAATTTCTACTATGTCATCTGGTTCTGATGTGGTTCTTTCCCACTCCATTTTAAACCAGAGTTTATTCAAATGGGATTATTACAACACTCTACTATTACCTAAATACACATATATTGAAGTTTTATGAAATTCATCTGTGACCCTTTGCTCTATTTGTTGCTTGTAATTGCACTCTTGTACAAAGAAAGGAATTCAATTAGTGGGTGTAGTCACTGATGAAGGGAAGAGTAGAACCTTACAGTATATGGTGAGATACTGAGATGTCCCCTCCTCTGCAATTTGTCTTTGCTTAATTAGTTTCCAACTTTCAATTTCTAAGGTTTTAGGTGCTGCCACAGAGGTCAACTGTGATACTTTAGGTGAGACTCGGGCACAACTCAGATTGATAATTTTTAAGGACCAGGGGTGACCCAACTAACCACTCAGTTTGCAAATTGCAGAAGCAGGGGCTAAGGATGATGATTTCAGTAACAAATGGTACAACGCAAACATCAGTTTCTGCTTTTTTTAAGATTGTGGGTGCACTTGGTACTAGTACCAAGTAGAAATAGCCTATTGTCGAAAACCTGGGCCTCATGACCTGTCACCTTTGGGAATTTCAGTTGATGCTCATTGCTTTTATAGGAAAAGTTGGCCTTATGTGAAGGTGTCAACTGATTGACACCCACTAAGAGGAATGTGTGCTTGCATTTTCTAGTATTCGCCCTTTGTGTACAAGTATTGATGAGTTGTTACCTAGACCTGCCAATAGGTATTTATCATGTTCATGTCCAAGCTATAATGGGCTGTGGGGCCTTTCTTTCTAGTTTCTAGTAATTTTAAGGCCAAAATTAAAGGTGAAGATTAGAGATAGCTGTGCTTCTGTTCCTGGGTCCCTTGTACCAGACACGAAAGCAACCGTTCACCGTTTATCAGTGCAGAGTACAAATTGAAGATGTTGTCCATCTCCTCTCAGTCATGGTTTCATATATCTGGTCATGTGGGTTATTGTTTGAACTAGTTTACTTTGATTTTAATGTTTGTCATTATACTTAAAACTACTAATTTTTCACTATAGTCGTCGTTGGCATTGGCAATATCTTCATTGTCTCTTCACTTTCCATTGTTAATCTTTTGGAGTTTCAGTTCCATCATTATCTTCTATTTCCATTGTCTCTCACGAGAATGAATTTAGGTTCATCTAGTGCTAAATCTCCTTTTCGGTTTTCTCCTTCCCCTTCCCATTCTGATGGGATTTCTTAAATCATAATCAGCGCTTTATTGAATAGTAATGATACATAGGCTGAGAACCTGAAGAACAAGAAAGAAAACTTATCTTTTTCCCAATTAAAGCAGTACGATGCATTCATTAATATTTCATGTACATTAAATCAAGATTTCAACCAATCACATTAAAATACCAAATAATCTATTCACATTTTATATTATAAGGTATATTTATCCATGACTTGTCATTTTATCACTGGTTCACATTCTTTGCTGCACCGTGCAGTTGATGCACCATAGATTTAGCCACGAAATAAATACAACTTGAAAGAGTTGATGGAATTCCAAATTTTATTTTTGTTATTTTATCCAAGAAAATGGTTTCTTCCAAGCTGGATAATAGATGAGGTAGAACCAAAACGGCAAGAAAGAAAAAAGAATAAATAGGGTGTCTAGTCTTAATTTTTAAATAGTAACCTTCCTGCAATTTTCATCCTTTCTTCAAATTAATATTTTTTGATCATCTTAGGCTTATGTTTACTGCATTTGGGTTCCGGGAGCGGAATTGGATTTGAGTTCCTTTCCCACTCTTGATTCCCCACAATACTTAAAATGACGAATGAGTAAAGACTACTCACCCCATCTCAATTCCAAGGTTAAACGAGATTTGCATATATTCTGATCCAAGCATCAAACCGAAGTGGATACCGTGTTAATCTAATCGAGCCACATGCCAGCTTCACATGTACAAAGAGCACAGTTGTACCCGCGGCTACTGAGCTAATGACCTGATCTCAACCTTAATTACAATGTAAAAGACGTGTTAATTGTTGCAATTACTTGCCTACGTTATCCCATGGAATTATGATTACGAAGGTGATTCAGCTAATACCATAAATTGGCTAAGGCAGAAGACGGAGGTCGGAGGGCCTTGGAGGCTTGCTCATCTCTGACTGAAGCTAGAGATATTCTGAATTCTCTGAATGTGAAGTTGGTTTGGATTTTTAGGGAATTAAACACCGTAGCTGACAATTTAGCCAAATCTGGATCCCATAGAGATATTATGTTTTCTGATTCTGTTTCTGCCTCCTAAGGCCTTGTTACTTTGTCAATTTTTCTCAGTTAACTCTTAAAAATCTCAGTTAATAACCTTTATCAAAAAAAGAAAAGAAAAAAAAAAAAAAAGATTACCCCAACAATTAATTGTATACCTATTCACAAATCACAAATACCCTACGACGAATCTTTATAGGCCCAAAAAACAAAATTTGGCTGGGAACTGGGATGTAAAACTAAAGCAGTGTTTGGACAAATTTTTCTTTTAGACTTTTGGACTTCCAGACCGAAAATCCAAAAGCAAAAAAAGAAAAAGAAATTTTGTTTGGTTGGTATTTGGTAATGCATGCTTCTAGAAAGCAAAAGCCCATTAGAGGCCGAAATCCCAAAGTCATTAGAATGGACTTTGGACCAAGGCTCTTGACCCTCTCGACTCTCTGCATCTCCATGCCCTAGCCAAAACAACGGTAAAATCTCCCATCCTTCTTCCTCTTTTGTTCTTCTTCTTAATTGACCAAACCCTCCTAACCTCCCATTTTCCATAGGTCTGGTGTATGGAATCCTCCTCGCAGGAATGGCAACTTAAACCCGTGACTCTAAATCCCTTTGATCTATGCATGTTCAGTGTCTCTATCATTTGGATTTTCATACCGATCGAAAGCAAAATAAACTGACTATTATTTCGATCTATTTACCTGTTAATGGACCAATTCAGTGACTGTTATTGATATTCAAACTACGGATATCCTGGTTGTTGGAACATGTTATTGCAGGATGAAAATGAAGAATATCTACACCATATGTAATATGGCTTTGTATGCTGGCTGCCTACAGATTGTTTTTGTAGTGTCCCATATGAGAGATGAAGATCTCAAACTCATCTCTTCATAAAAATTATATCTTTAAAACAATTGAACATTATGTGTTTTATTCAATAGACCTATACAATCACTGAGAGGTGCCCTCAAAATGATTAATAACTTATTAATTAAACCATAAATGATATGAACATGTGGTGGTTGTAACATATCATGTTGCATTGTTGTTAGGTTATTAATTTGCAAGGTTTATTATTGCTTCTAAGAGTTCTGACAATGATTATGTAGTGAGGCACATCCATTAGTGTTTTTTTTTTGTTATTTGTGGATTAAATATCGCCTAAACAGGTAAACTATCAATTTTTTATGGTAATTAATAGGGATTAATAGGCACAGATACTACAGTTTGACAGTTTTATTGTAGCCAATAATAGTAACGCCATGTGTCCATAAAAGTCGTATAGATTGGTGCTACCAAACACCCATTCTTTGCTTCTACTCGGAAAAGCATGCCTTGGAAGCAAAACTTACCAAGCGGGTTCAATAGCCAAAAGTCCAAAGAAGAAGAAAAACAGAATTCAAAAGCCAATGCTTATCCAAACACTGCCTAACCTCCATGCAGAAGCCAAAAGCCTTTCTCTATGCTCACACTGCTGTTAAAATAATGATGTTCCATTTAAGGAATGATCCAAAAAAAAAAAAAATCATGCTTCACCCCGCCCAAAGCTCACCCAACCCAAAAAACCTTGTAGGCAGACTGCTATACAGTACACACGCATGTCATCAGGACCCATTAACCATGTATGAACAATGGATCGGCAAGAAAAGAGAAGCAGCACAGGGACAACTTGATCTCTACTCTTCAGTTAGGCCTTCTCCTTTACCGGAGATATCAAATGATGCAATGTTGTTGCCTGGATGACAGCACTCGGGTTTGAGTCCCTTACACGAAGTGTGCCCGCTCGCCGACTGTTGCTTCTGTCAAGACCATTATGCAGAAAACGTCGAAATGGCCATGGAAAGTACTGAACCAGCCGTGTTGAACTCACAAGAAGAACCACACCAACAATGATGAGTAGCCTGTGGTAGAACGTTTCCATGTAAATCGCAATATCACTAAAAGTAAAGGCATGATAAGTGGGTGAAGGCTTCAGGTTACCATCCAAGCAGGAGTGAAAGCCGAGCCATTGGAGCTGAAGGCAATTGTTCGCCCAAAGCAAGCATACCAGCAAGAACACCAGTCACTATTGATGCCATAGCAGCACATGTAGACACCACAATTGCTCTTCCATGCTTTAAACCTCGTGTCTGTTCACAAGCATAGTTATAATAATAATGTCATTATCGCATTACTAAATCAAACTGGAAAGAAAGAAAGAGATACGTAATTGAAGCATTAGAAATGAGAAAGAATGGGGGGATATGTGGATGCATTGGCAACTCTTTTACGATTATTTCTTTTGTGTTTTACTTGTGGGGACTAAGGTTAATGGAACACTAGAGACAAAAGCATCATTGATACAAGGGTCACTTCACTTTGTAGTAATAATACAAACAGACGTAATAGATCAAAACTCTGAGTAAGATTTATCAAGTGAAATTAGGCTATAATCCTACTTTATGGCATCTATCAAGTGAAATTAAACTTAAATTTATGGCATCTACTTTTTTTTATCAAAATTCTTCTACTTTTTTTTTTGACAAAGATTTCATTGAAATTTCATGAGAACATTCAAGTGGGTAAATGATAGAGATCTCATCAAGTAATGTAAAAGCAATTAAACAAAAGAAAATGGAAAATTGCAGAACTCAAAAAATGAGGAAGTTAGAGGCTCAAAATCAGGTTTGAAACAATTCCAAAGCATGCTGAGGGACAGTCCCACCAGTTCTCTCTTTCTTAAACGTTTTTAAGTAAATTGCAGACTCAATTAAAAGAAAAGGAAAAGAAAATGAAAAGCACATAGAACAAAAGACATAAAAAGAAAAGCATACTAAACAAAAGCATCCAGAATACCTGGTAAACAAATCCTGTACCACTACAGCATATACTGACTAAAATGCACACAGGAACCAACATCTTGGAGAATCCTTGCTCTAGAAATACAAATCCCATCTTCGATATCACAGATGAAATCCTGCAGTAAGATTTGAATACATTAGTATTATGTCTTTTTGGAGAGACAAAATTATGAAAGAACTAAGGATTCCATTCCGATATATGTACAAATTCAACAAGAACATCACACCTCCTGGTTTCTGCCCTCACCAGAACTCGTTTGTTTTCAGTAGCAAAGGGCATCAATTCGTTTGGTTGGAATCACTTAATTTGCCAACATCTAAAATGGCAAGTTGTATAACAAAGGGCTATAGTGCAGTTGTATAAAGGATTCCAACAACACTATAAATTTATTCCCAAAACTAAAGAACGTCAGAACAAGCATCGAGTTCAGTCCACTCATTCTTCTTGCTGTCTTTTACAGATGCTCCAGAAAAAGAATAAAAAACAATCCCATTGTCCTACTAAAATGGAGCATTAGCCTTTGTGTGAGAGAGGACAGCTGAAAATTAGACTGTAAATGAATTTCATGCATTTCACTTTCTGCAGACTAATCTTTATTGTGACACAATAAAGTGAGTAGAGTCTATAATATAATCCTTTAGTTTTTAAAAGTTCTTTTCCATCAAATACATTTCTTAATAGATGTTCTTCCAACGAATCCCTTATCTGGATCAGAAAAGAAGGCAAAGACTTGTAAAGATAGCTATTGCGTAGGATAATCCTTGGTTAGAAAAGAAAGAAGTTAAAGAAACATGTTTAGCTGGATCTCCCTAAGATGTTAACCAATTCCAATATTATATCACCTTCCTTTAGCATATAATACATCAAATGCTGCATCTGAAGAGAAATTAAAAGACAGCATAGGGGTGAGCTTATATTTTCAAAATATGTCATTTCCTGGAATCCAGAAAATCCTAACAAACCCAAGTAATATAAGAAAGGGAGGGACATGATGCAGCACCCAAATAAAATGCCTGATTCCAAGCCAAATATAACCTCCTCAACAACTTCCGATTGCATCTGTAAGGCATAGACAGCATGTTACAAAATGAAAAGTAGAACTGGCATAGATCATAATCCTACAAAGTAACATAAAAAATAAACCTACAAAATTGTATGGCTAACACGGCGCCATCATAGAAAAAGGAAAGCTTACCAACTCTTGTTCTCTTCTTTGGCGCTTGTAGATGCGAAGCCATCCATTAAGAAGGACCTGTAGCCCAAAAGACTCCAGAGATTTTAAATGTGTGTGTAGTAAGACATAAAAGATTTTCACCCAAAACCTGAGTTTATCAAGTTATGAAATTACTACCATCCCCCACAAATATGTATAATCAGTATATGTATTATAAAATGTGGCAAGGATTTAACTTATATATAACACATACTTATTTTCGCCCCCCTGTTCCTCTCTCCACTCTTTACTAGTGGGGATAACTTGAGGACAAAAATCCTTGACATGTTTGCCAAATAAGCTGTTATCAATAAGCATAGTCTAACTAAAAAAAGGTTTAAGTTTGTGAGGAATTCCAATAAATGTCATATAAATCTGATATTAACACCAGAAATGAACACATAGGCAATCCAAAGAATTCTCCCATCCAAGTGCAACCTGGATCAGAAACATGTTCCTGCACATAAAAGAAATAGATGTTTGTCTAGAGAGATCCCCTTGTTGATCTGATTAGAGAACTTTCTTCCTCACACATACACAAACACAGTACCAGTTCTTCTACTCTGGCTGTCTCAAAAAAATGATCCAACAATCTTCCACTTGGCAACTTTTTTTTTTTTGATCAATAACACTTTCATTAATTCATCAATAGAAKATTTACAAWAGRAAGACAAMCAYRCTTATCTTCCAAGAGCAACAAAGAACCTCAAGAAAAGGAAAAAAGAAAGAGAAAAGAAAGAAAACACACTAAAGTTACAGCTTGGCCCAAAAAAGTGAATCCCTT